GGGATGGTATGTGTTATGTAAGGCATGCTGCAACACACATCCTCCAAGGATACAGGGATGCTTCTGATTACCAGCTTCTGCAGACTATGTGACCTTCACATATCCAGGAATGTCAGCTTTACTACGGGCTATGCACAACAGGACGCGCGTAGTAATATGGCTGCATTTCAAGGTCATGTTTCCAGGATGTACCCTGGTCTCCATTAAACTGCCTACGGGTTTGTTGAGCGCATATTTGCCAAACTAAATTGACGTGGGTTTTACGATATTAACACTTGACTGGGTTACTAAACCAGAGAGAAAAACTCACGTATTCCAGATTTGTGGCGGACATAGTCGCGATATTGCTTATCGGAGTAACAAAAACACGTTTTCATTCGGTAATTGACCTTGTTAGCTTACATCTTTCGTCCAGAAAACAAACTTCTTTGCTCATTATAAACATGACTCTTTGCAAAGCAATCCTGAGCGGGGATACACTGTTCCATTCGCTTGTCATGTCAAGGTACTCTATATATCTGGTTTCCGCTGAGCTGAGATTGCTGGAATATTGCTAAAACGGCATAAACACATACTCAGTAAGTCACAATGTCCAATTGTGTAACACAAATACATTATCTAAAACACATGGCACAAAGAAGGAAGCTTTAGACAGCATGGAGTGGTTATAAACCCACGGACCAGACCCATCCGCTGCAAGGCAGATGACCTAACGTCGACGTCATGTGAGATATTGAGGGTGTTAACACGTAGTGTCATACATGCCACCCTGCACTACACCTTGAAACACTGTCCAGATGACCCGGTGTCACTGTAACCCATATCCCTCCGCAGATACAGTAGCCGAATCGCCGCCTTATCTTTCCACTTCCGCCAGTGTCCACTAATTGCGGACTAATGACCTATATAGATACAGCCACATGTGTGTATACATGCAGCGAAGACTGGAAGCCGCTCAATTATTCTTGTCGGTGAAAGTGAAAGGCAATAAAATATAATAAAAGTCAAATTATTGTCTTCTGCAGATGGTGGTCGTATATGTTAATGGTTCCCTTAATCTTTGTGGGTGATACAGGTCTGTAGAACATGGTGGCAGATGTTCTATGTGGGTGATACAGGTCTGTAGAACATGGTGGCCAGATGATCTATGTGGGTGATACAGGTCTGTAGAACATGGTGGCAGATGATCTATGTGGGTGATACAGGTCTATAGAACATGGTGCCAGATGATCTATGTGGGTGATACAGGTCTGTAGAACATGGTGGCAGATGATCTATGTGGGTGATACAGGTCTATAGAACATGGTGGCAGATGATCTATGTGGATGATACAGGTCTATAGAACATGGTGCCAGATGATCTATGTGGGTGATACAGGTCTGTAGAACATGGTGGCAGATGATCTATGTGGGTGATACAGGTCTGTAGAACATGGTGCCAGATGATCTATGTGGGTGATACAGGTCTGTAGAACATGGTGGCAGATGATCTATGTGGGTGATACAGGTCTAGAACAACGGTGTCAGATGATCTATGTGGGTGATACAAGTCTATAGAACATGGAGATAGTACACATCCACAGATATTGTTCCACCATGATTGAAGGTGTTAAATTATACAAAAACATAATTATCAACGATATGTTCTGTCTAAAGTGCTTGAGAAAGATTATATTTGACAAACATAAGTATTTTTACACATTCGTGCATATAATGCGCTCAAGACTATGTGCGTGTCTCGGGTAGGAAGGAAATAAAGGTAGTTGCAAAGCATGACGACTTGTGAAACATGTAATGAACAGGAAGTGGAAGAATAGAATAGCACGCTATGACACTGTCGTCTGCTCCGACAGATATAGAACATGCGCTGTACAAGATCTGCTGGATTCAGCCGGGGAGAAATAATCAAGTTTCACCAAAACACAACTTCAAATGACTCTACAAATTCAGTACAAAGTGTTTCAGAACATCAAGGAAACAACACTTGATGTTATTTCCCTTACTACGCGGCCATATTGTTTCCTTGACGAAAAGCAGGAGAAATACCGCTTCAAGAACAATATCCGACTATAATTTCCGAGAATTCCGGCACGACTTTGCAGCACGTGGTTGCCAACGCAGGTGTATCCGGTGCCACTGCCTGGAGATGGTGCAAGAGTGAGATAACGCTCGGCCTTTACACAGCGACTTGATCAGCTGTACAAGGTTTCAAAACAGAGGTAGATCTAGGGATCTCAGTAGTTGCTAGAAGCGCAGTCTCGAACCGTCATGCTTTTAACAGATGGAACTGGATTACGCTGATCCTCCAGCATGTTATTGAGCTGACGTTTGTCCTTGAGTGAGTAACAGTGGGACACATTAATGATGCAGGACTTTGGCCGAGTTAGGTAGCTCTGAATTAGGACATGAGTTATGTTCAGAATATCATGCTTTCAGGGGGCATCTAGGAAAACCCTAGATTCACTTCCATCCTCCTTCTTTACTCAAACTCAGCATGAGTATCTAAAATCAGGATTTAAAGAAATTCATGTGCACATTTTTAATCCTGTATTGATTCTTCCGCGTTTCGTCACAGTTCGGTGCTTGTAGCTAATGTACAGTAATGTCTTCTGTAATTCTGAGATGCATATTTGTTTGGTTTGGGGGAAAATATGTAAATATGCGTTGTCTTTAACGGCGATTAAACGGCATTTCAATTGTTCTCCTCCACATTCAATTACTTTTCAGGGCTGAACGAACCTTGAAAGTTTTACAGGTTTGTTTCTGAAACATGTTTTGTCTTAGCAGAACAACGTTTCAAATGAGCATTAAGTGAATCTGGAAAGAGTATTATTGTCGAACAGTCATTGTTCTCCGATACAGCGAGAACTGGTTGCACTGGTTGCACAGGTTGTACCCACGTGTTGGATCAAACCTGGACCACCACTCTGCTTCTGTACCTGGAGACAGTGATGTTCCTTGAAGCCGATGACATGCTCGCCAGGAATTATTACACATGTGCAGCTGATATATAGTTATACATGTCGATGTAAGACAATACTCCTGTTACTATGAGTTACTGCAGCTTGCACGTCACATGCACGTGTGGGTATTGTGTTTGTCATTACAACGCGTGCTATGTCGCTACATCTATTTTTGAAGACATCCAAGCCTTATGGCCAGTGTATGGTTCATACCATAGCACAGTACCTACCTCCCATGTTACTGTTAACTTGTATATGCCTAACGGGGGATTATTTGTTGTTCTTCACGCACATCTTGACTACTTCACATAACTAATATTCTTAAGATAAACAGTGTGTGTTAATTTGTTGTTATTGGGATTTGTTGATATAAACGTCACTGGTAAGTGCTTTTACAGAAGGAAACAGTTATTATTCCTAAAGCTGTGCCAAATTTGATTTTATACCACGGTCGACAATTATTTGTTAATATGACTCTCGACTCATAGAAGTGTCGGTGGCCATCTTGGAAATAGTATCCTATTTTTTATGTTCGGCAGAGGGTCGAGGGTCTTTTCCTAAATGCTAGCAATTCGAAATCCATATTAAAATCTATATTTGGTGAGTTTATCACAAACAACATTGTTTTCATCAATCTGACTGACTGAATTTTGTAACTTTCTTGATGTTTCACTGTCTGGAGGAAGGGCTGTGTTGTTCTCACAATACAAGGACTTGTCACTGCAGTTGTTATGTAGTTATGCTCTTCCTCTATGTTGGGCATTACGTTCCCAAGCCTACATTCGAGAGGGTTTGCATGGAATTAAATTATCTTAGCATATATTGCATCGTGCAAAAACCCCGAGGATATAATCTTGACGATTCCTGTCGATCACTGTCTCGTACTGTCGGTCCAGAGACAAATTGATTCCGTGCTGACAAATAATTAGGTTATCTGCCCGTGCAAACTGATAGATCATTGACATTTGAATTCAATCTGCCATTGTCAGGTCTACTGAACAAGGTAATGATACAGTATAGAGTCATTCACGTTGTCATTAGGTAGTGTGCTGTCTTTCACAGTATGGTAAATTATACAAACAAAAACACGGGAAATCTAATGTTGGAGATTCGCCTGTTGCGATCAGTGTCAGAGATATGGTAGAATATCTGCCTTATGATTGACTGACTGATAGATCGTCTCACACCGCACTCAGCAATATTCCAGCTATATGGCGTTAGTCTTTAATAAATCGAATCGTGACCAGACAATCCAGTGATTGACAATACGAACATCGATCTACACAACCAGGATAGGATGGCATGCATCAGAGAGCCTGAGAACCCGACAGTTTGTCGCTTCTGATGGCGCGGTGGGCGAGCTGGCTAAAGCGCCTTTCTAGTGATCCAGCGAGGTTGAGGTGCCGGGATCGAGCCCACCTGTGACCGGTGTTGTCACAACCCCTAGTGTACAGTACACAACCCTGTGCACTTAAAAGAACCCACGAATCCGTTGGTAGATGACCAGATGGTGGCCACATGAATACGTGCAAACACCTAGTTGCGGGTACAGAGCAACGTGCAGTGAATTTGGACAAAGTACTGTGACTATGTGTCCCAGTCCCAGGACTATGTGTCCCAGTCCCAGGACTGTGTGTCCCAGTCCACCCAGCTGTGAATGGGATCGTTAGGATGAGAAAGCCACAATAACTCGGTGCGCCTAGTGGCTGCAAGAGTTGTATACTCCCCAGGGGGTTGAGATTGATAATACAATGTGCCGTTGAGATTGACATCCAGTGATATAAATATCCTATAATAATAAATGATAATAATAAGTATGGTTTGCTGAAGATTACTTCTGACTTGGATCTTCACGGGTTGTCTGCTGTATTAGAGGCGTTATAGCGACACGGGTGTTGCAGCCATGGAACCTGATGATTAAGGCCATGACTACGACCCATCGGCTAGAATCAGGGTTTGGGTATAACGAATCCAGACTGTTGACCAATCCTCTACATGTCACCTTCAACCCGCCCCAATCCCATGAAACACGTCCTACCTGTAAACAGTATTCTTCTTGGAAGATTTCCGCTTCTGCAGAGCAGCGACCTCGGGTGAGGCAACAACACCTTCTTCAGCATCCGCCTCCATCTTTGTCAAACACACCTGGTCGTCGTTGTCCGGCGTCTTGCTCGTGGTGACTACTCCGTTGTCAGCGCCGTCACGGGGTTCGTTCACGATGTATGTCCCAGACCGCATTGCGCCGATAAATGGCAGTCCCGGGAAGCGCTTCTGGACTGAAACACAGACATTGTATATTATTTGTTTCTGCTGTCACAGAACGCCAATAGAAGCATTCCAGCACTGGTTACAGGCTGATCCCATAGCTAGCCGGGGAACTGGGGCGTGCAGAGAGGAGATATGGTGTTTATGTGGCAGGAATTACTGGTTGGTTGTTATGGTATGTGGTTGGTTGCTATGGCATGTGTTGTTATATGATGCAAGTACAGGGTCTGGTCTCGCTGGTCGACCCGCTAGTTATAGCTGATAATAACATGTCACAGTTTATACACGGTGCTGTTATGTGCCAACCCCAACATAAGTCTGTCCAGATACCAAATAATAGATATGTAGTCTGTGTTACAGTGCCTCTATAATAATAACATAATTCTTGATGACTCGAAATCCAACCCAGTAGAAGATAGTGTCTGTCGTAGTAGATTAATAACCACCTGTTAGATTCATAAACATGGTAACATATGTTTACTGTCAAACAATTTAGGTTAAGAATGAAACAAATTTGCACTTGTCAGTCTGCCTGAGCCCTGCCTCCCTTCAGGATCTTTCAGAAATGTCGGTATTGGTGTTTCCTAACACGTCTGAGGTCTACAATCTTTAATCGAAAATATGTAACTATTGGACATTTTTATCCAACATGTTTGCTTTACCGTTTTGGCAACTGGCACGGTGTATAGGCAATCAGTATAGGTAATCACCACCCCATGTACAGCAGGCACACATGGTCCATGGCAGAATATACACCCACCCAGCTAGTATAAAACAGAACCCGCCTTGACATTATACAAGATGGAAGAACTAATAAAGACAATCTTTAAATATTATGGATAAAATATACAGCTCCATATCAACAGCTGACACTAAGCACAAACTCCTGTATCTGATGAGCAACAAGTCTCAACGTGGGGGATCCAGCGTTATCAGGGACTATTTATTCGGGGGAACCACGGCTCATGGATATTGGTGTGATAAGGAGGCGATGATGACGGGCAATAATGCGATGAAATGATACCCCTACTAGTATTTTATCACATACCTACAGTCTATAGTGGTTGTTATTTGACCACGTCTTCCCGACGGTAGCAGCCAACTATATCTCTCTTCACACACACAAAGAATCTGCCATTCACATGTGTCAGATAAACGTTTTACGATATCTTACAGTACGGTGGTCCATTTCACTGACAGAATTGTGGTTGTGGGTTTACTGTTATACACGACCTACAACTGCATGAATGACGTCTTTTTGAACGGCAGCAGGTTGACGACCATAAACCATTGACTAGATAAATGATTGACTATGCCTAGAAGCAGTGAATGACCAGATACAAGGCAGGGCTCCAGATAATTTTTCAACATCAGGAGTACGTACTCCTTATTTGTTCAATATTGAGTACTGGAAAACCTTAAGTGTACATTTAGAGTACTGAATGGAAGCTAATGGACTATCAGTAATCTTGTGTTTCGTTTCATATATGCACCACAACATTGCTACTCTTTTGTAAACAGGTCAATAAACCATAAAACAATACTTTTTTTCAGATAAATACGTCTGTAAGTGATTCTAAGACCGTACACCATTGCTGTGGTGCGTATCTGCTACGTTTTCTAAATTATTTCCTACCGTATCGTGCATATTTTTTATCCGTACATACGCCGATACGGCCCTTATCTGGAGCCCTGACAAGGAGTGACTAGATAATGAATGACTAGATACATGAATGGTCAGGTACAATGAATGACTATATACAGTAAATAACTAGATAAATGAATCACTAGGTACAGTGGATGACTAGATACAATGAATCACTAGATACAGTGGATGACTAGATACAATGAATCACTAGATACAGATGATGACTAGATACAATAAATCACTAGATACAGTGGATGACTAGATACAATAAATCACTAGATACAGATGATGACTAGATACAATGAATCACTAGATACAGTGGATGACTAGATACAATAAATCACTAGATACAGATGATGACTAGATACAATAAATCACTAGATACAGATGATGACTAGATACAATGAATCACTAGATACAGATGATGACTAGATACAATAAATCACTAGATACAGTGGATGACTAGATACAATAAATCACTAGATACAGTGGATGACTAGATACAGTGGATGACCAGATACAATGAATCACTAGATACAGTGGATGACTAGATACAGTAAATGGACATAAAATAATCCTACCGTGGAAATCACAGAGAATCACAAGCAAATCCTCACTAGGAACAGTTTATAGTGGGGATGCGTGTTGTGTTAGCTGGCTTCCCACCAACACTGGCCGTGCTGTAGTCACGTGTCGGTCACGTGTGCTGCACTGGGCTCGTGTGTCACTGCACACAGTGGAGCAGACTAATACTGAGTCTCTGCATGAATATAATTTTGATAAAAACAAATAATCCCATTTAAATTGAAAAGAGCCCAAGTGAAGGGAGATTCAGAATCTGAGGAAATCTAGACTTGCTTCATTCAGGTTCAGCATTGCAGAAAGGGCTAGGTGGAAGGGAAAATAATGTGGTTCAAGGACTGTGACACAGGCTAACAGTGAAGCTTTAGCAGCAACAGAAGCAGTTGTATAAATGTAGCTGAAGTAGTAGCAAACGTTGTGGTTGAGGTAGTAGTTGTTGGTGGTGGTGGTAGTAGTGGTTGTTTTAGTACTAGCTGCTTTGAGTAAAATAATAAAAACTGTCTCGACTTTCACGTGGATGCGATATTGTGATACAAATGTACTTGAGTGACTTGGGGCTGTAACGGCAGCGTGTGGGCAGTACCTGGGTTGTACCACGGCACGACCACAGCGACGGCAGCATGAACCACGCGGCTACAGGGGTGGGGAACAACATCGTGGATAAATATGTCGCGCAGAACAGCAGTGGCATTCTGCTTAAATAGGCAGATCATGTTACAAAACACACATGGTAGAGGGAGATGGTAGAGGGGGATGCTAGCGGGTGAAGCGAGGGGGTGTCAAGGACAAATCTGCCCGGAACTGATGTCCAGGGGTGTGCGTGAAGAGTAAGGTACCAAAACGTGTTGGAGACATGTATTCGTGTACACGATACACCACTATCACACTTAGAACTGGAGATGCTACAGTAGTCTGTCTCACAGTCCCTGAACCACATTATTGTCCCTACTGCCAAGCTCTCTCTGCAGTGGTAAAGCCCTAAATAAAGCAAGTCTCGCAAGTCTAGATTTCCTCAGGTTCTGAATCTCTGGTCTCCTTAGGGCTTCTTTTCAATTTAAATGGGCTTGTTTGTTACTATCAAAATTATATATATTCAGAGACTAAGCATTAGTCTAACGCTACAGATACATCATGTAATATTGATTGATTGTGACAAAGAACACCAGGCTAGCTATTCTCGAAACATTCGTAGCCCTACGAACTTCTTAAGCCCATTCTTAAAACGTTGGCTACGATCAAAGTTAAGAATTCTTAGCGCTACGAACGTTTCGAGAATAAGGGCCCAGGATGATAAGGCTGCTGATACAGTGCACGATGTAACACTGAAATACGATATAACATTGATGTACGACGATGTAACATTAACGTACGATGATGTAACAATGTACTATGTTATGAATGTATTGTAAGATATGGGGATATACGATGTAACGTCGAAATATGTTAAGGTGATGTACAATGTTGTGATGATATATGATGTAACTCTTACACGATGTTACTCTTGTATTCTATACCATGTGGATATACGATGTTACTCTTGTATTCTATACCATGTTGATATACGATGTTACTCTTATATTCTATACAATGTTGATATACGATGTTACTCTTGTATTCTATACCATGTTGATATACGATGTTACTCTTGTATTCTATACCATGTTGATATACGATGTTACTCTTATATTCTATGCAATGTTGATATACGATGTTACTCTTGTATTCTATACCATGTTGATATACGATGTTACTCTTGTATTCTATACCATGTTGATATACGATGTTACTCTTATATTCTATACAATGTTGATATACGATGTTACTCTTGTATTCTATACCATGTTGATATACGATGTTACTCTTGTATTCTATACAATGTTGATATACGATGTTACTCTTGTATTCTATACCATGTTGATATACGATGTTACTCTTGTATTCTATACCATGTTGATATACGATGTTACTCTTGTATATTCTATACAATGTTGATATACGATGTTACTCTTGTATTCTATACCATGTTGATATACGATGTTACTCTTGTATTCTATACCATGTTGATATACGATGTTACTCTTGTATTCTATACAATGATGATATACGATGTTACTCTTGTATTCTATACCATGTTGATATACGATGTTACTCTTGTATTCTATACAATGTTGATATACGATGTTACTCTTGTATTCTATACCATGTTGATATACGATGTTACTCTTTGTATTCTATATACCATGTTGATATACGATGTTACTCTTGTATTCTATACCATGTTGATATACGATGTTACTCTTGTATTCTATATGTTGATATACGATGTTACTCTTATATTCTATACCATGTTGATATACGATGTTACTCTTATATTCTATACCATGTTGATATATTCTATACGATGTTACTCTTGTATTCTATACCATGTTGATATACGATGTTACTCTTGTATTCTATACCATGTTGATATACGATGTTACTCTTGTATTCTATACCATGTTGATATACGATGTTACTCTTATATTCTATACAATGATAATATACGATGTTACTCTTATATTCTATACCATGTTGATATACGATGTTACTCTTCTATTCTATACCATGTTGATATACGATGTTACTCTTGTATTCTATACCATGTTGATATACGATGTTACTCTTGTATTCTATACCATGTTGATATACGATGTTACTCTTGATATTCTATACAATGATAATATACGATGTTACTCTTGTATTCTATACCATGTTGATATACGATGTTACTCTTGTATTCTA